AGAGCTTAACCGATTTACAGACATTTAGCTAAAATTTGTTGTGATAGAAGTTTCGCTTAAAGTTTTCAAAATTTGACCAAAATGTCTTCATGTTTCTCAACATGAGATGATCTTGTTTCCTGTCAGGAGTCTCTCCAGCAGCAGCACCTGATGGGGGTGACATCCCAGACAGGCACAGGAACAGGAACACCTGCCTCTTTGGCCACACCCCCGACTACAGTTCATCCAGTCCGCCAGACGTCCATCGCCGCTCAGCACCTCAAGTCCCAGCGCTCCATCAACAATCCAGCCACTGCCACGCCTCCGAAGGTCCGCCCGCAGAGCAGGAACCTCCTCCTTAACTCGTCCGATGCAAGCTTTAGTGGCAGCCAGCCAAAGTCACGGCAAAGCAAACAAACCACACCACAGCAACAGCAGCCACCGCCATCGCAGCAGCAGCAGACGCCATTGCAGACGCAGCAGGATGCACAGACAGACAGTCCAGCTCCCGGGCTTCCGTTCCAGACAAACTCAGCTAAAGATAACCAGGTTTCCTCCACAGCTGCGGAGGAGTCGACGGACACTCCCACAAAAAGCACCAAGAAGTCCCAGCAGTCTCAGCTGCAGCCGCCGCAGACACATCTGCTCAAACCCGTTGCAAACAAACAGGTGAGTCCCGCGGGTTCCTTTCTCAAGATGTTTGGAAGCCGTCATTCACGTGAGAGGGTCTGGACTCGTTTTGGTTGTTGTTTCAGGGGAACATGAATGAACGGACTGTGGCCTGGGTGTCCAACATGCCACACCTCTCTGCTGACATCGAGAGCCTGCGGCCGGACCGCGAGGGTCAACTCAAAGAGTACTCCAAGAGTATGGATGAATCACGACTAGACAGGGTCAGCACCTTTCCTCCAGTAGACCGGATTTGATCAAGTCTCTCTTTCTTGGCTGTTTATTGTCCCTGAAAACCACCGATGGCACGAGTAAAGTCGCTCTTTATTCACCTTTCAGGTAAGAGAATACGAAGAAGAAATTCATTCTCTAAAAGAGCGGCTGAAGATGTCCCACCGCAAACTAGAAGAGTACGAGCAGAGACTTCTGAGCCAGGAACAGCAGACAAGTAAGATCCTGCAGCAGTACCAGAACCGCCTGGAGGACAGCGAGCGCCGCCTGAAGCAGCAGCAACTGGAGAAGGACTCTCAAATCAAAGGCATCATAGGCAGGTGATTAGTATTCAGGCTGAACTTAGATCTGGCAGACCTGAGGTGGTGCCGGCTGCTGCTCGGCTTTATCTAGCCTCATCTAGCACACAAATGTGGACGAGTTCAGGTGAGTGCCACACCAGACATAACTACAACAAACATAATCACAATGGTCAGTGGAAATGAGAAAAACTGGTCAAAAAATCACATCAACTGTATTAATTGTTCATTAAATGCTGTACTTTATGTAAAGAAATAGTACTTTAATAGTGCAAAGAGTCTGGACGTTTGATGAGGAAGATTTGTGTGTAAAGCTTTATTTTCGCCATGTCGGAGTGCCTACGTTTTTCATGATTATTATTTTAGAAGAGAAAGCTTCCACCTAGTCAGCGCCGGCCCTCGCACATCATACACTGCGTAGGGCACCGAGAGAGGCTCTCCTCTCGAACGCCAGCCGTCGTGAAGCGGATCTGCAGGGATGGGCGGCAAAATGAAACAGCACCCGTTTATACCAAGTCCAAGAAATGTTTTCCACCAGAGACGCCAACAATTTGGGGAACTAGTGCCCCCTAAAGGCTTAACATACCTATAAATGTGCTTTACTAACCACTGGATTATTTTTTTGTGTGCTAAAAAAAAAGGTGGTGTGTAGTCAATTCTTTTTCCTTTCCTAGCTGGGCGGGGAAGGATATCCATTTAAAAATCCCCCGCTGCGTGTGAATATGACCCGAGGGCCACTAAAACGTTTCCTGCCACTTTTAAGACCCCCCTTGGGTTTATGTAAGATTCAGAGCAGTATGAATGTTGCACAAACTCTGCAGCTGTTTTAAAAGGGCAGCATTTAGGACTAGCTGCTGGCTCATCAGTCCTGGATATCAGCAGTGGGTAAGATTAGAATTATTTGCAACTTTTACCCAGAAAAACGTTCCAAAAATGCCTGAAAGATACCTTTGAGGTGGTGGAATAGTAAAAGTTGAACTGAGACAGTTTGTTCTGGTTTAATTAGTAACCAAGTTGAGTGCCACAGAGTGATTTTACATTACTCTGGTAAAAGAAAAGCACGGTTAAAACGCTTTGTGGTGTTTTCCATCCGGAAGAGGCCAGCAGAGATAAAACTCCTCAGACATCTTTCTCCAGAGATGAGGGTTGGTTTTGTCCTTCGTGTGCTGAGTGACATGAACCTCTCCCTGTAGACAGGCATCCTTCAGTGCATCTAACATGAAAGAGAGGGATTCCTGTAGAATCTGTCGAGAGAGTAAGACAGCTCATTAGTGCCACTGTTAAAAAATCTAAATACCACATCTTGACAAAGTTTAATGTAATTTATTTAAAAAATGACCCGTGGAATTAAACCCTGAAATGCGCCAACTGCATCTGCTCTGTATTTATTATTCCCGTAATTGAGAGTTTTCCATTAAACAGAAATCTATTTTTATAAGCTCCAGATGTTTTGAGATACATGTTTATGTCTAGGACTCGTATTGTGAAGGACTGAAGGAAGTTCTTGAAGTTCCTTTGTGGGTGCAGCTGCAGAAATAACCAAAACGCATCACCTCAAATTCACTAAAATGCCTTTTTCCGTTGATTATTCTCTATAATCACACCCCGAACAAGAACGGGGATTAGGGCTGGGCAATAAATTGAAAATTTATCGTTATGCAAATTTCTGACTCTTATCGAGTCAATAAATTAGATCATAAAAAAAAGAAAAGATGTGTGTAGGTTGGCAACATTCATGTCTCTGTAACTCATTCACTGCCAATAACGACTAATTAGCATTTTTTTACTGCTTGGGCATCGGAACGAGCCCCCCCCCGCCGCCGAGAGAACAAACATCTTAGCTCTAAAGTCAATTTTCATCCGCATACATCACACGTCATGTGATCAGGAAGCAGAAAATCCATGTGTTAGGAGATCGTTTTGGGCCGTTCCTGTAAAAAAAAGTGAGGCGCGAACAGGAAAAGCTTCGGCCGATCACATTTCAACAACGGATTATGAAAGAACGGATAACGCTCGAAACACACGGATTCTTCCTGATGTAAGAGGTGAGTCTCCGCTTTGTTTTGGTTGTTTTGGCGTCGACATCATCCTAGCGCACAACGTTCTGTGACTCTTTAAAAACTGTGAGAAACGCTGGCAGCGAATGAGTTAAGAAGCTGTACCGTCTTGAGTGTACCGTTTATCGTTAATCGAGGTGAAATCATCAACATATCAAGATATTGATTTGAGGCCATATCGGGGGTTTTCCTCTCCACTGTTGCTACATTCAATTAAATTCAATTCAAAAATACTTTATTAATCCCAGAGGGAAATTGATTGTTGTAGTAGCTCAGAATAAAAAGAATAATCAAGTCATCAAAGAGTTATTGTATATTACAATGGCTGTTGGCAGGAAGGATCTCCAGTAGCGGTCAGTGTTGCAGCCAAACTGAAGAAGCTTCTGACTGAAGACACTCTTCCGTTGTCGGACAGTCTTGTGAAGAGAATGCTCAGGGTTGTCCATAATTTCCTTGATTCTCTGGAGAATCCTTCTTTGCATTATCTCCTCCAGCGGTTCCACAGTCGTCCCCAGAACAGAACCAGTCTTTTTTTTAGGCTGTTGAGCCTTTTCTGGTCCCTGCTTCTGATGCTACTACCCCAACAGTCAATGGCTGAAGAGATTACACTCTCAACAACAGACTTGTAGAAGATCTGCAGCATCTTGCTACAGACATTGAAGGACCTAAGCATCCTCAAGAAGTGCAGTCTACTGTGTCCCTTCTTGTAAACGGCTTCGCTGTTCTTTCTCCAGTCCAGTCTGTTGTTCAGGTGAACTCCAAGGTATTTGTATTCCTCAACCACCTCCACTTATTCTACACTAGGGGCAGCAGTAGTGGTGGTCTGAGGGACCGGTGGCGCCAGTGCTCGGCAGCCTCGCCTCTGTCAGTGTGCCCCAGGGCAGCTGTGGCTACATTGTAGCTCATCACCATCAGTGTGTGAATGTGTGTGTGAATGGATGAATGATACTCTGTAGTGTAAAGCACTTTGGAGTCCTCACTCTGAGAGGCGCTATACAAGTGCGGGTCATTTATCATTCTCCCATGATGGAAACAGTCTTTGACTCCACCCTTTTTCTTCTGAAGTCTAAAATCATCTCCTTTGTTTTGTTCACGTTCAAGGTCAGATGAATGTTTCTACACCATGCCACAAAGCGCTCCACCAGCTGTCTGTACTCAGCTTCCTGTCCATCTCTGATACACCCGACAACTGCAGAGTCATCTGAGTATTTCTGTAGATGACAGGTCTCTGATTTGTACTGGAAGTCTGAGGTGTACAGGGTGTAAATGAATGGTGAGAGTACAGTCCCCTGTGGTGCTCCAATGTTACTGATCGCCTGGTTTGATATGCAGTTCTTCAGCCTCACAAACTGTGTTCTGTTTGTCAGGTAGTCTTTAATTCAGGTGATAGTTGAGGCCCCCACCTGTGTCTTCTGGAATTTCTGGCAAAGTACATCAGGCTGAATTGTGTTAAATGCACTGGAGAAATCAAAGAACATGACCCTCACAGTGCTGCCTGCTTTGTCCAGATGACAGTGGGTTGGTTGAAGCAGCTGGATGATGGCATCTTCAACTCCAACTCCATGGCGATAAGCAAAGTGCAGCGGGTCCTGATATGTCCTAGTTTGTTTATTCAGGTGGACCAACATGAGTCTCTCCAGGACCTTCATGATGTGGGATGTCAGGGCAACCGGTCTGTAGTCGTCATTGACTGATGGGCGAGTTTTCTTTGGAACTGGAACAAGGCAGGATGTCTTCCACCGGACTGGAACCTTCTCCTGGTCCAGGCTGAGGTTGAAGAGGTGCTGCAGAATCCCACAGAGCTGCTCTGCACAGGCCTTCAGTACTCTGGGGCTGACACCATCTGGACCTGCAGCCTTGTTCCTGTTCAGTCTCTCCAGCTGCCTCTTCACCCGACTTCTAGAGACAGATAGGTGGGAGGGGGAGGTAAATGGGGCAGCAGCATCTCCTGACTTGGTTTAAAACAGATTTATAGAACCAGAAGAGTCCATGACTGTGTTAGAGGACAAAAGAGCTAGCGTGTGACAGAAAAATGTTGGATCAGAGGAGGATGGGATGTCTGATTGGCTGGGGACAGGCGAGGAGGATGCTGGGTTTGTTCCTGAACTGAACCTATTGAAGAACTTGTTCAGTTCATTGGCTGTGTCCAGACTGCCATCTGTGCAATCCTTCCTGCTTGAAGTCTGTGATCTTCTTCATCCCTGACCAGACATCTCTGATATTGTTCCTCTGTAGTTTGTTCTCCAGCTTCTTCCTGTATGCCTCCTTGCTGTCTCTGATCTTGATCTTCAGTTGCTTCTGTATACTCCTCAATAATTTCCTGTCTCCCTTCTTGAAGGCTCTTTTTTCTCATTTATCAGATTCTTCAGTTCACTGGTGACCCAGGGTTTGTTATTAGCGAAGCATCTCACTTTTCTGTTGGGTATGATGTTGTCCACAGAGAAGTTTGTATAGTCAGTGACACATCCAGTCATATCCTTGGCAGAGAGTCATCCAATCTGTGGTCTCAAAACAACCCTGCAGGACTTCTTCAGCGTCCTGTGACAATTTTCTCACAATTCTTCTTGTCACAGGTTGCCTCTGAACAAGTGGTTTGTATTCTGAGCAGAGAAAAACAAGATTGTGATCTGATTGTCCCAGACGATGCCTAGTTTTGGACATGTATGCATTCTTTATATTTGCATAACAAATCCAATGTCTTGTTTTCTCTGGTGGAGCAGCTGTCAAACTGATAAAATGTTGGAAGTGTAGCAGAGAGGGAGGCATGATTAAAATCACCAGATATAGCCATAAATGCATTGGGGTGCTGGGTTTGTAGCTTAGCGACAACGGAACTGATGGTATTACATGCACTTTCAGCAATTGCTGAAGGTGGAATATAAACGGTTGCTAAGACAACACTGGTGAACTCTCTTGGCAAATAATATGGGTGACAACTTACTACCAAGAGTTCAACATCTGGGC